CTTTCATAACAGCCCATTTTGGTGTTTTTAATTCACCTTTCAACAAGCAACTCCTGTGCAGTGCTGAAGGGAAGACATTCAGTTGGAAAAAAATTCAAGTTTGGACAATATTCTTGGGGGAATTGTGATGACATCTATTTTTTATGTTGAATTTTCAACCTTGGATTATTGATCTGTAATATTTCAAATGATTATTAAATATGTAATTACATAGAAGCACAGAGCTAGTAACAATTAGGATATTTTGCACCTTTCCTAGATATGGTAATTTATTTTATTGATTCAATGTTAAATGCTGCAATAGAAGTTGTTAGAACCTCAAGTTGTTAAAAGTAGTAATGAATTGTGTTAAAGAGCAAATCCAGCCAATTGTGTAATAGTTAGTGATGCATAATATTTTTGGTAATCATACACGCATTATAACAATACCATAGTTTGTGGAGCAGCGGTTGATTTTGAATGAAGGTGATGTGAGTTAGGCTTCATTTCCTTTATCAGATACAATATCGTTCACCCAGCAGTAGATCTCCCTAAAAGTGTCCTTTGGGACATATTAAATTTCCTCATGAACCCCGTGCGACACATTATTGAGGATGACGAAAGCTTGGATAGAATTCACATCAGGAGTCTGGGACTTGTGTGTGGTGCCACCTCTGAAGTTTCCATTACGGACAGTGGTATGACAGACAGTGAGCTGTCATTAGTGTCTGGTATCATGTTTGAGCAACATGAAAAGCTCAGCCAACGGATGGATACTGTTGAAGAGACAGTCAGGAAATACTTGCGTGTTGACTTTGCAAGCCCAGTGACATCAAGCGTTTCTGCATAAAGCAAAGAAAACCAAGCTAACTTTGCTGTGATTCAATTTTATTGAGTGGCCAAAAATATTTTTAATTTTCCTTTAAATGTACAACCAGAAGAGGACACCAGAAGTCACCAGGTCTAGGAAAGAAGATCTTCAAGATATTTTTGTGATCTATGGTTATGTTGGGATGGTATTGTCATGACACAGCTGGTGATATTAGAAAAACCAAAGTGATTTTGGTGCTCTAAACATTTGAATCCTTCAGAGAAACTGGTTGCTTGTGCAAAGCCATGTTTTGTTTTAAGCTTGAAAAGAAATTTTTCAGATGAGCTACATGAAACTGCATTCCAATTTACCTGGCCTGAGGTAGATGATAGCTATTTTATTGCTTTGTGATAGCACAATTTGATAAGTTTTGCCAGAGGTTAGTTTTAAATTGTATAAAAAAAAAAAATTTTGTTACTTCAGTCCTTTAAAGTAGTTGTCGAAATGCAAATAGTTATTTTGATGAAATTTTACCCTGTGCTCAATGCAAAGCATTGTTCTTTGGAGATTTATATAAAATATGATTATTATATTTTTGCTTTTTCATTGCTTTTTTTGCAATATTGTTGGGTGTGCCTTTGTAAGTCAAAGTATTCAGATTTTTTGGAGGAGAAAAAAAATTTAGGGTAAGTACAAATTTGGTAAATGCTCACATGAAGCAAAAAAATTATATTAATGATAGTATTTTAGAGGTTATGACACATTAAATTATGCTGTGTATCTACTGTGTGAAGTAAAGAGGAGTACAAGTACGGATGCAAGATGCCACATTTCTTCAGTGTTAATTGGAAAAAGACCTTCTTTATTCAACCCCGTTCATCCATCCCCTTGTCTACCTCTCAATTCCTCTGATGTATTATCGACAAGTTCTTCACACTGTATTAGATATTTTGGATACAACTTGTCATCAAATCATTGACTGAGGGGAACGCAATCTTGTCAGATGTTGAAGCTGTCATTAACAAGATAAATGAGCTTTTTCTGGGAAGGAAACTAATTTGTAAAAAATTCAGGTCAAAATTCTGGCTCTTAAAATCAGTTGTTGAATTGTCCTTCAAAACCTGGACAGAAGATAGAAAACTCCCACAATTTGCAGTTTTTTTGGCCAATTGCACTGAAGGATCATTATAACCAACTATGCTCACAGCAAACAGGAAATGATTAAGCAAACACAGTTGTGAACAACTTTTATCATCAAAGCATTTTTATTTCATTCAAAATAACTTTCTTCATCCTTTTTCACACCTTTGTTTAATTTTTACTGTGCTTGAAATAGCATTCGTCTTTATATCATACCCAAAAAGTTGAATGTAGCAGTGTAAGTCTTAACCTTTCAGATTTCATCCTTTACTTTAAGCTCTGAGATGTGATTTGGAAGTTTCTTTTGACCTCTCAACATTTGTTTGTAAAATTAGTTAAGAGAATTGGGACTTTTTTTTTTTTTTTGAAGGTAATGCATTCTAGTTAATGGAATAAGTTTGCCTTTTGTCCTAGTCTGTTTCATTGTTTTTCAGCAAACAGACTTACAGTGTTAATCCCATATAGATGCTGATAGATTTAAGTAATTTTGTTCTTGTTAACTTAGGCCAGTTATTTAGTCCTCAATCACCTTAGAGTCAGTCTTCACACTCAACTGTCTTAATGCAGTCATTTCTTCAGTGTTAATTTTACTTACCATCAATGAAATCTTTTTCATCAAATGCAAACTCACACTTAGAAATTTTTATCATGAGCTGCATTCTTTGTCATGTATCAAGCACTTTTGTTGTGTCTGCTCACAATTCAAATTCTTGTTCAATTTATGTGTTGCACAATATTTATGATCCATGCATTTCTCAGCATAGTAGATCGCTGCCATCAGTTTGGTTGTTTGTACCCTTCATGGTGTCTCATTCAAATGAAATGTTCCACAAATTCCACAATGTTTACAATCCAAGTGTTTATCTGCATAGTTGACTGACAGCAAACATTTTGGTTGCATCAAACAGGTCTTTTCTTGTCCATCTGTGTCTATGGGAGAAGTCGTACAAGACAGATTAATGCAGCTATAGATTTTAACTCAAATTAGAGAAAAAGAGAGAATTTTTCAAAAATTTTGTAATTTCAGATTTCTTTGTAAAATTAGAAAAGAGAATTAGGAATTTTTTGATTTAACAGTCTTTTCAAAGAAAAACTTTTTAAACAGATTTATCTATTTTATAGTAAATTTAATAACATAGGCATTTTATGCAAGTTCTGGAAAAGTATATACTTTACCGTAGGTAAGCAATGATTTTGGTACTTTTTGATGAGATATTGTTTTAGGCAAGTTATTTCTAGCAATGACAACACGAAAAAAGGCCATCTTTGTTCATGAGAATATGATAATATAAATTATAAAATTATCTGCAAAAAATAATTTTT